TTCTAACATAATACCTCTGAAAGAGAGTGAGGATGTCTTCTACATCCGTTGAGGTGTATTTGTTGGTGATCTTTTATGGATCCAGGAACATGACAAACCAGCCTTGTTTTTGGCTCCATAAAGCTATGGCCTTCCTGGTATGTCTGCCCCGAGGCTTGAGTTTGAGCCCTTTTTATCCTCCATTGAGTATGGGAGAAAAGTCAGGTGACTNTATATAATACTGTACAGACGATAGCAAACTCAATTTAGCCGCTCCGTAGCGTAGCGCAGGGCGGAGGAAAGTAGTTCGGCTGCTCATCCACTATTGGTCCAGATTCTATCAATCTTGTCGCGAAACGAGTCGGCGACGTCGTTTTAGGAGCTGCTTTATACGTATGTTGCTACAATTTTTTCGCTACGTTATAGGAATTGTCGTTATAGGAATGCACGTTATACGGGGGTCGACTGTATATGATTTCGATCTAAGGAAGCCATTATTTTCCTTTAATAGGTTAAAATTAATGTATACTTTCGCAATATCTATAAAATTGTTATTCGAAAAAAAAGTAAAGCAATGGCGCTGGCAGTGAGGGACCAGGGAAAGGACAATTGCTCCTCCTGATTCCTTGCTGTGGATATTCTTAATTGTATCAATTACAGTATTACGTACGTATAACGAAACAATGTTTACCATAGGTTAATTGATATAGACTAGTTATACTATGGTTATTATTATTTTAATTGGATCGCGGCATTTATTTCCCACTTCATACAGGAACGTACCGAATAACTTCGGCGTCCGAAACAAACTTCATATCAATCTGCGTGATTTCTTTTTTCCAGTCATAACTCTTCACCCAATGGAAGAAGGATTATACCATGAGATCAACGTAACATTTTAGCAATTGATCTCACTGATTTGTCACAATGTTTCTACGTCATATCTGACCTTTTTCAGATTCACTTAAAAATTTTCCTCGGCTCATCTTACGCACACAATTATATGAAAGATTCACGATGATAAATAAAAATGTCACAAGTTAACTGTGCATAATATCAAGGTAGCAGTTATAAAATGGTCACATAATTTTTCAATACGAAATTTCTGAGATAATACAGGGTTATTTTAAGCCAAATTTTTGTTTGTTTTATTGACCATTTGCATTTAAAATAATCATGGCACGACAAAGTAACCGAATGAAATAAGTACAGTACAACTTGTATAGTTTCAGCAATATATTTAACCAAAAACGGTTTCAGCCTATACTATAGGCAGTAGCGTAGCGTAGTGGAGACGGCAGGGGCGGCCCGGCCCGGGCGGCACTTTTTAGGGGGCTGCAAAATTTCACAATAAATAATAATAATATCTTGTAAGAATTTGAACCATTTTATTTCATATCTTCGTCCACCTACGACTCGGACCGGTCGAAATAAGCACGGAACAGTGTTACCCTCACCTGCCGTCCGGGTCAGCGATTTTAAAAAGGTAGCAACACTAGCAAGGAATTTTTCATTGCTTATTCTGTGACGAAGCTGAATTTTAATCTTTTAAATTGAAATACCTAAATAAGGGGGGCGAAAATTTCCTCCGCCCCGGGCGGCTGACACCCACGCTACCCCACTGACCAGCATGCACTGCAAATTATTCTTCGCATTGCAAAATGACATACGCATGCGTCAGGAACTTCTGTTCGAACAAACCTCACCTGCCGTCCGGGTCAGCGATTTTAAAAAAGGTAGCAACACTAGCACGGAATTTTTCATTGCTTATTCTGTGACGAAACTGAATTTTAGTCTTTTAAATTAAGATACCTAAATAAGAAGGGGCGAAATTTTCCTCCGCCCCGGGCGGCTGACACCCACACTACGCCACTGACTATAGGCCTTCTTCGGTTGGAATATCGAACTTAAATGGAATAAAAAAAAATATATTCTAAAAACATATTAAACGCAATGGAAATAATTTAAATTAAAAAGAACGAGAAGAACATTCTAAATCAATAGAATATTTGTACAATTCAAATATAAGTTAAGTAATAAATAAATAAATACATACCATAGTATAATCAAAACATAACACAAGTACAAGCAAACATAAATAGTACAAAAATAAACAATTATCGGAGGACCAAGCTTATGTCATCGATAACGTTTCTGATTGATAAAAAAAAGTGTTTTCTATTAGATTTAAAAATTTCTAATAACTCTAAGAACTTGATAGAATTAGGGCTTCTAACGGGAAGGCATCAGCCACTAAGATGTTGATTTCATATACATGTACAATGGTTTCACTGATAATGTCTAATGGGTGTAATGATCAGAGTCTCAAATATTTTTAAATGTTTAAAATATTTTTAAACATTTAAAAATATTAATATTTTTAAATGTTGGATTTCATAGACAAGTAAAACTTTTAGGTAAAGAAATTTTAAATTCTATACAATTATTTTGTAATGATTCTTCGATGAAATTGTTTTAGACAACTAGAAATGGCATAATAAAATTACATTCATCATCATCATCAATTACCTGCACCAATATTTAATAATTTGATTAAATATGTATGGTTTGCTTCTGGACTCGAACATGAAAAATATGAATTTTTAATGTAAAAGGAGTTTTTCTTTTTTAAACACTGGCAGTTTAAATTGTGTTGAGAATAATTGCCAAAATCTTCGATTTGTTAAATGTGCAAGATGTCGACAAGTTCTTTGTTTATTTCGTTTTATTGAAAAATATCACGTAAATATTTGCCCATTTAATAATTTGTGAATGTAATTACTTTTCAGTTAACTACATATAATAAAATGTATTTACTTATTACGTTTCGATTATTTTCTTTGTATTTATTCTATCATTACTTTTATATTATATTTTATTGTTAAAGTAGTATATATATGTAAACTTTCATATAACATTTATTTGAGTTTATTCCTTATTCTACTCTGTAAATGTAATATCGTCATCTTCCTCCGCCACCCTTTCAATACTAAAAATTTGTATATTTGTGTTAAACTAATAAAATAGTACATTTGATTGCCATTAACCCCGATTAATAGTTTTAGTGAATAAATTTAATAGAGTTTGTATACTTTTAACGTAATTATTAACTAAATTTTATTGATATTTATTAAAAGACACTCCAACAGTTCCCTTGTTAGTACAGTATTAACATTTATTTGGTAGTTAAATACGTGTTGTTTACCTTCCTAAGAAGATATTTTTCTACGGTCAGAATTTCTATTTTTTCATAACTAAAATACGGAGTATTTTACTAGCGGAGTGAAGGTGTAAAGTTGATTATCAGTGATGTCATTGCACTATGATGAAACGTGTGATCCTTGAACCTTGCGAAATATGGTGTAAAAATGGGCGCAGGAAAAATACTCTTATTAGTATCAATAAATCATATCAAACAATAAATAAATCAATAAATTAGTATAAAAAAAATCACTTCTTGCAAATGCGTACGCCTAAGTAAGATAATTATAGTATTTAATGTTTTTAATAAATAGAAGTTATATATAAATATAGCTTCTATTTATTAAAAACATTAATTACTATAATTATCTTACTTAGGCGTACGCATTTACAAGAAGTGATTTTATGAAACTCTTAGTTGATTCACTATTATAAAAATAGCTTCCATTAATTCAAAAATGGAAATAAAATAGTCTGTATAAGAAAAGACAAATACGAGTAAAGAATTACGTGTAAACAAACAGGTTGCAATTAAAATAACTTGTGTTTTATATGTTATTTAAAATTTAACTATACTGTTTATTTTAAAACAGTACACCGAACATTTCTATATATTAAACAGTGATGATAATACAATTATTTTTTTTAATTACAGTACACACAAAAACGTTTATGTGTATTTAAATCAGTGTTTCTTAACAGGGGGCCGCAGCTCCCTGATGGTCCATAAGAAGTTTCCGGGGGCCACCAAATTATGCAAAATTTATGCATATTTGTGTGAAAAAGGGTTTTCAACTATGGTGGATATAAACAAAAAAAACGCAATCGATTGCGATTAGATGCCTGCTTGCGGATAGCATTACTTACAAACAATTACAATAAACCAAGAATTAACAAATTAGTTGAGGATACAGTACTCAGCAGCAGAAATCGCATTAAATTATTTTCGAATATTTTTTGTTTTTTCTATGAATTTTTAAATGTTTATTTTATTTTTTGTTAAAAATTAATGAGTTTTTATATTTAATTGTGAAGTTTGATTATTATTTAAACAGATAATGAAATAATAAAGTTACGTTTTACATTTATTATATACAAAAATCAATTTATTATAGATAATTTAACAAATATAAATTATTATTAAAAAAATGGGGGTCACAAAAAAATTATGAAATATTTGGTGGGCCGCGAGTATAAAAATGTTAAGAACCAATGCCCTATAATATAATATTATACGGGTACAACTTATAATTATTTTTGGCTTAGGAGTACGTGATCAATAAAGTTCGGAGACCACTGCATTAGATAAATACAATAAAACTTGGGTTTAGCGGACATATCGGAACTGAAAACTGTCCTTTTAAATCAAGTATTTATTAAAAATTGCCTTTTATAATATTCCGTTACTTTTTTAAATAATCGGTACAGTTTTTTGCTATAAGAGCAGAATCAGATATAGCCAAAGAATCACTAAATTATAGTGTTATTTTTACGCGATAATTATCACCATTTAATAAAATAACGAGCTCAGAGCATTGCTATTCAAAGGCTTTCCTTGTCACTGCAACCAATGCTCTCTGTCCATTGCAGTCCTTTTTAATTCATATTCCCCATATCCCCAAAGAAGCATTGACCTCTTCCAGATATTTTTCCCTGGTCTTCCTTTCTTTCCGAGAATTTGGCCTTCAAGGATAGTTTTAGGAATTAGTTGTGCCTAACAATTGATTTGTTACTGTTAATTGTAGAGAAAATATTGAAACCTAATTCATCATAAATAATATTAAACATTTTTAAATTATTATTATTTTTTTATTTCATTTAATCGTTTCATATTTACAAATCATTTGTATTACAACCATATTTACAAATTTTGGATAGTTTATAACATTTTTGACATGTATGGTCCATCCAGTTCGTATCCAAGTTTTCTATAATAATTCCTAGTTCCTATACCTAATAAAAAAAATATAAAATTAAAATAATAATACAATAATTATTAATTAAATAATATATTGAATTACACTAATAGTGATAAATGACTAATTGTAACTGTATTATAGGACAATAAAAGCTAGAACCTCAGTTCATAATGTACAGTACCACTAAACGTTTACATTTATGTTGTCTCATTGGGCATGCACTCCTTCAAATATCATTCTATGTAAAAAACATTCCAGAACTAAAATATCTTGGACTATTGGAATCTGCAATGGTAAAGACCTGAGAAAGACTTCTCACGGAAGTCAAAAAGGTTAGCGCAGACTGAAATTATGTTGGAAGAAGTGAGTAAGGCTGTTTTGTCATAGTTTTATAGCTTTTATAATAAAATTATATTATATTATATTTTTAAAAAATTAAGGGAATCAACTCTGAAACTCCTGTTTCAAACAAACATCACGAAACCAGATAAATTTGTAAAGCCAAACAACCACCAGATTGAATTAAACCACTTTTTGGTAATTATAGTTTAATTATTTAGTAATTAATTAAAATATAATAGCAGAAAAGTAGCCCAATGTAATTGGTGGTTGTTTGGCTTTACTGAAACTTAAATTTAATTTCCAAAATTTTTATAAGTCAGGTAATGATTTTTACATAAATAATACAACTTATCTTAAAAGTGCTCATTTGTACTGTTTTTTGTTTACTCTTTATGCCCTGTGGGCATTAAAAGGGTCTTTTAATCAAGTCTGTCCTACATTCTTCTAGGACCACAATTGAGCAATCAGGTGCTGAGGAATGAAACCAGACATATCCAGGATGGATCACTCTCCAAAACAATTTCTGGGAGTTTTTGACCCATCTGGATTTTTCTGGGTCTCCAGAGTGGAAGGCTAGCACCTTAAAGCGAGGAGGTGAGAAATTCAAAATAATTTAAACTGAAGAAATCGCACACTCTGCAAGAGGGAGAAATTGCTTATTGCGTGCTATTTTTGGTCCAGTACAGACCCATTCAAGGCTATTACATTGGGAGGGAAACCAGACACAATTGCAATTGTTTAAGGCATGAATCCGTCGTCTTTGCGTGATTAAAGGATAAGATATAAACAAATAAAGTCTCAGTGGTTATCATATTCCAAGTCAATATCTATTCTGGCGGCAACGCATTCGAAATATTCATGCCAAACTTGATGTGCTGGGTTTTCTTACACTTTCTGCATTATTCGGCATTAGTTTTGGGCTTTTCTGATTCCTTTTCAATTTTACTTTCCAACGATATAAGTCTCTTACATTTCTATTCGTATTTTCTTTGCAATTTCTTCAATACACACAATTATCGGCTTATAACTTTACAAATTCTATTTTATCGGTTATTACTACACTGTTAAATAATATTGTAGCTCCTGTCGTTCTGTACAAATTGACACAAATTTCGACATCCTATCTCTTTGCCATTCAAAGTTTTGCTGTCCAAACGCAGCACCATTTTCGGTGTTTGCGTGCAACCGCTTACTCCTCCTCTGCATGTCCCTGCATACCCCCACTATCCAACACTTTAAATACGGACTTAAACCTTCTATCCAACAAAATTTAAATCACTAGATTATCATTTATAATTTACGAGATATAAACATGACTAATCTTGACATTTGTTTAGTCGCTCCAGTTTTTGTAACCTCCCTATACCAAACTGAATTTAAAGATGTATTGGGATAAAAAATTATCGAGAGTAACAGATGGATTCCAGCTTTTTCTGCTAAAAATCTTATTTCCTATCTTTTCAGGTCTGTAGGGCAAATGTACATTAATAAAAATATAAAAAATGATTTCTTTTTTTTTATTAATGTACATTTGTCATATTGTATTTAATAGATCAACAAAATTTTTATTTTGCAATTATCAACTTTTTTCACTTAAATGGATCATGACTTTATAAACACATTTTGTTATTTTTTAATCAAATTTTTGTCAAACAATTAATAATGATGAAAAATTTACTGTAAAGAATTCTCAAGAAATCTGAATATTTTTAATTTGTGAAAACATTAATTCAGAAATCAATTTCTGTACTAGATTTTATGTAAATTGTAATGCCTACATGTTTAAAGTTCATAATTCAAAAACAGATGTTGCTATTAATTGTAATGATTAACTGTATTATTAAATTTTATATTAAAATCCATTGGAAAGATTATTAATAATGGCTTACCAGATATAACAGCTATTTTTGTTGAATTATGTTCTTCTTTAGCAATTCTTTCAGCTTCTTCCATTAATAACATTCCAAATCCCTGAATATTGCAAAAGAAATTTATTTACAATTTGGCAGTAGATTATACTAATTAACAATTAGCAAGCCAATTCTGACTTTAAATGTGGTTGGTGCAGTCAATGAGAGTCATAAATTTGATGTGATTGGGTCTCTTAACAACTCCATTAAATTAAATTGAGTGATCAGATTATAATGTTCATATTCACATTTATTATGGTCAGAAAAGTTCATGATCATAAAAATTCTTTATGTATGTCATCTCTTACATACTCTAGTCACTCTCTACTCTTGGTTCTTTGACATTTGTAGTTATTTTTAGGTTGATGTATTACAGCTTTTTCAGTATATTCTTTGTATGATTATTTTGCTTCTTCAATTGACTTTATATAAATTTAGAAATTTTAAGATAAACTTTACAAGCCTCTGATGTTACACTGCAACTATCATAGCATGCGATAAATGAAACAACAAGCCTACAATAAAAAGTAAAATTATAAACTCACCACTGTATTTGAATACTGAATTAATAAACAAAGAAAGAATTTTCAGCAAAATTTTGATATTCTACAACATTCAATTTTTCACAATTTTCAATTCCTGAAAATTTCAAGTGCCAAACTGTGTAACATACTTGGCCCAGTGAGGTATGCACAACCTCACTGCCCTCAACATCTCAATATAGTTTTACATATTGCGATAGTGATAGTTATGTCAATAAAATTAAATCATTATATATATCCAAGTTAAATAATGATATATATATATTTTGCTGCTCTTATTATACCACTAATTTCATATATATGAAATTAGTGGTATAATAAGAGCAGCAAATCAGCAAATAATCTGAAAATTAAAACATTTTAAAAGTCTCACTGTATCAATTCTGGATTAAGAAACTGAATTAAAAAGTTTTTAATATTCTTGATTATATTTCATTAAAAAATAAAGCTTACTTGATGCTGAAATTTTGATGGATCACGAAAACTGACAGGCACTACACTTCCATATCTTAACACTATTTAAGAAAAATAACTTCTCAAAAGCAATCCTTTTTTTTTCAACAGTTAAATTTTTAAGACTTAACAAATTTTTTAGATTATACTACACCTATCAGTTATTATAAAAATTATAGGTAACGATTCACTAAACCATCATTATTTATAAAAGGATACACATGCAGTTCTCTAATTATTGATACATTATTTTTCAGTTCTGGCCGAAAAGTTTCTTCTGAACATTTTCTTAATCGAAGCAAACCAACTAAGATATCCTGATGTGGATCTTCATATGATAAAAACGTTTCCCAGCCACCATTAGCCACATAATCTCTTCTTATTAATTCTACCTAAATGACATCAAAAATACATTAATTCTTTAATATATATATTACTTGTTAGTAAAATAAAATTCAAATCATTAAGATATTTCATATACAGTATAATATTGCATTTTATTATGGTAACAAAAATGAAGAACATTTATTAAAATTCTTTTACATTTAAAGATTTTAACAAGTCTAAGTATTCAAATATTTATTACATTCAAGAACTATAGAATAAGTTTTTTCAATACATTAAAGTGTAAAATTAACCTGAAAATAATCATTGTATTAAATAATAATTATTAGAGTATTTTTATAATATTCTTATAAAAATGGCTATCTTAAATTGATACAAAACAATGTTCTGGATTATTAACTACTGCTGAACACTAAATTAATTAATTACTATACTAACTACTATATTTAATCATGCTATATATATCATTACTATATTTACTAATATATATTAAGTATTATATATAATATATATATATATATAAAATACTTAGATTAAAACTGTCACAAAACTTTTTCACAACACTGGAAAATAATAAAAATAGCAGCATCAGGAATTGGTGAACTGTCACAAAATTTTTTAATGACTGAAATGAATAGAGTTTTATTTTTACAAAATTATTTTGAGAAGAGATAGAATAATGTGATCAGTTTTAAAAAGTATTAAAACTGATTTAATTTATTACACATATTCATTCTCCAACATAATCACCATTTAGAGTGGTATGCTTTCCAAATATTCAATTCATTTTTTTTCATTCCATGCACAAAAACTTTCTAATTTTTCTCTGATGAATTTCCAAGAAGTAACTCAACTTCATCAGCTGATGAAAAGTACAGGTATCCCACATACAACATGGCACTTTTACAACACAGTTTCATTCTAACATGATTTGAAAATTAGAGAATATCCCTCATACAACATGGTTTCCAGTTTTGCTCTAATACGTTTCAAGAATTTGAGAAATTCTCCATACAAAATTTCACAACTTTTAAGTGAAAACTCATTATTCGATACTTTTTTATTCAAGCAAGCATGCATGCTTTCTCAAATTAGCCCACAGATTTTAGAATATTGAAATTTTCAATCATTTTGTGCTTTTGTCAGGTTTACTTTAATGAAAACAGATAGTGCAATTTGTTTGTTCCTTGTCCTTAGCTTTCTTATCAACTGGGTGTCATTGTTATTGCTTTCAGACTTTAGTCCTTAAGACTGTCACTGTGTTTTGTTTTTATACATTAATCTTTGTATTTAGTAAAGTTTATTTTAACATTTTAGGTAGGTGTTATCAAACTATTTTAACTGTAGATAAGTAATCATTCGTAAAATTGACAAATGAAATACAGTGATATCGTGATACTCAACTGTTCCCAACTCAAACAATTCAATATTCAAACACAAATTCTGGAAAATAAATTGCCCAGTCATTGATTGAACAAATGCAAACCACTAGAACAAAGTTTTGATTAATAACATATTTTTACTTTTATTTTGTAATAAATAAGTTTTTATGTTAAAAATAAAAAAATGAAGATGTTATACTGATATTTCTGATCAAGATCAACAAAAAAAGTAGATAATGACAATACTTTGTAAAAAGAAAACATCCTCATTTAACTAAAATTAATATTAACACATAATACAGTACTTTTAATTGTGATAGTTAGTTAATTATTTTATTGGAAATAAATTATTGATTGCTTTAATAAACATATTTCTCTTAGAATTGTATACTTTTGTTAACTTCTGGAACCTAATCGTACATTTTACACTAGTCCTTTGTTTCATATAGTACTGATTTGAAATAACATGACACTTTTTCAGAACATACTACCTGTATGAGGTAATTTACATTAATTTGGAAATCACCAGAGATCTGATGGTGCCAGATCTGGGCTGTTAAGATGGTAGGGAATAACTTGTAATCAGGACTGTTGAGAGCTTTTATGGAGGTCTTTTAACTCTTTGCAGGTTTCTTTAACTATCTTTTTATCTTTGAATAAATATGTAAAATGTTTATACAGTAGAGCCTCGATTATCCACCCTAATTGGGGACTGGGGTTGGTCAGATAATTGAAAGGGCGGATAACCGAAAAGTATGAAAAAATCTATTATTAGTGTAGTATATTATTATATCCCATGTAATTAGTATATTAGTATATCGCTATTAACCTACTTTGCGTTGAATTTTCATAGATGTTAAGCCTAACAAAATTTTTTAAAAAATAATAATCGTCGCTATTGTATCGTTAAAAATTAGAAAGTTAAGGCTCGTTTAAATACTGGCTCCCTTTCATGGTCGATCCAGTGTTGCCAGCTAAAACACGTAAAAATAATATTAAAGTAGCCAAGACATAGCCAAATATTGTAGCGCCACATCATTTGAAATTTGCCGACTAGGACGGTCGGTTAATAGGGGGTCGGATAATCGAGGCTCTACTATATACATATACAGTATATAATATATATATATATAGACTGCTTTTTTTATAACTTAACTCTTAAAATTACATAAATAAAAATAATTTAAAATCCAACAACAATGTTGGAACAGATAACTTTCAAAATCAAAACCATTCACATCAATTTGGAACTTCAGAATTTCATAGTTCAAACCTAAATTTGAGGCAGGTTTATAAATTAAACCAAAAACATTTGTATGTTCATTTAATAAATAATCCACTTGCTGGAAAAGTAAATGATTTTGATTTTTTAAAATAATTTTGAAGAAATACATACATACATATTACTAAAATTTACCATGTATTTATCATCTTTCAATAAAATTTTTTTGCATTTTATACTAACCTCATATGGTCTGACTTTATTATGAATTTCTTGAATCCCAACTTCTCTTGTACGAACATCTTTACATTGGGTGCCAAGATCTTTCATTCTAGCCAAAGCAAGTTCTCTTAAATTTCCATGTTCTACACCAGAACTTACTAAAGGCATGGGAATATCTCTGAAAAATATTATGAATTTATAATAAAAATGTTATTAATTTTGGATAAATATTGGTTTAAATTCTGGATGGTGATTATCAAGTTATCATTTTTCATTTTAAATATTTTAAAAATATAATATGATGATGTATATATAATAAAATACAACAAAAAGATAGCAATTAATTTACAAAAAATATTTTATATATAGTGTAATCATAAAGTCCCTCCACAATGGGTGGTAAATGGGAAGAGCTTCCAGGAATGAAGTAATGACAGTATAGCAGATCATGCATGTAAAAACTTAATTCAAGCTGATATGAAATTTCACCCACTGTTTAAACAGTGTCAAAAACAGTTTGAAATAAAAATGGATTTTTTTTCAGTTCTTTTTAAAATTCTGTTTTAGTTTCTTTTTTATTGTATTTTTTTTTTGTTATTTAAATTTGTTATTCTTTGTTATTTAATTTATTGTAAATAGATTATTTATTATAATAAAATATAGTTCTCTTATAAAAGACATTTCTTATAAAATATCTCTTTTAAATGAAAAAGATACTCAAGAGATATTTTTAAATATAAAAATTTTGTTAGTTATTTTTGGTACAAGAGCCCATTAGGTTACTGTATCAGATAGCAGTAAACATATAAATACACAAAAAAAAAAAAAATGAAAGGAAGATAAAAACGAACAAGTTAATGGCAAACAAGATACAAATATATGCACTATGTATGAGTAAAATATAATAAAAAATATTTGCAGGATGAAATGTTTTGTTGTGAAGGATGAAGGCTGTTTTCCATCTAAAAAATTCTTATCCTAGATTTTTGATATACAAGGAATGGATGAGATCCAGAAGGAACTTTTTAGACAATAATAATAAATAATATTTGCATTATAAGAGCATAAAATTTATTGATATTTAGAAGCAAAAAGATTTTTAATGCCTACTTATATTTTGTATGAAGTTTATGATAAATATAATGTTTTAATTAAATGGGCAAAAAAATTATTTTTATTTCAATATAATATTTTATAACATTGAAATAATATTCAGAATTAATGCTTTTAACATATGCTGTGTATTTACTAACATTTCAACATAAACTGATTTAAATTTTATTATTTTTCATACATGAGCTATTTTTATATTTACATTTAATTGTAAAAGTCAACTACATAAATTACATAATTTATAAATAATTACCTTTGTACCCTATATATTCTAGTCCATGGTGGTACTAATGCTAAAATCTTTGCTATCAAATCTATCAGTAAATTTGGTGGGTAACTTTTATATCGACCAGTTTTCCATAATTCATATAATCCTGTGCCACGTATAACTAAAGTTGGATAAATCTTTAAACCATCGGCTCTAAATGCTGGATTTTCAAAAAATTCCTTAAAGATAAAATATATCATAATATAATTATTTTCATATTTACAGTAAAATAAATTTTATTGTATTAAAAGAAATGTCATTAATCCTCCTGAACAAATTTTAATTTATAATAGTCTTCCATTAACAGTAACATTAAAAACATTAAAAAATAATGGCATTTAAGTGAAGAACTTATGGATAGTTGAAAAAGAAATGAAAAACTATATTCAATTAAATGTAATTGTCTTAGGTATTCATTTCTTCATGCAAATTAATTGTGAAGATATTTATGGCTATTCGAATAGTTTCAAAAAAACAAACTTCATATGATAAGAAAACATGTAGACATGTGTTTGTTAATACAGTAGGGCCTCGAAAACTCGGCACTCGATAACCAGGCACTCCGGATAACTCGGCCACACCCTGGCAGGGCAAAAAAATCCTTAGTTAATTAATTTTCATTATAGACAGCTTTATGCCTCATAATTTATTTTTCTGGGGTCTGTCTTATCAAGTAAATTACTGTACACTGTGTATTCATTAATTTTCATTTTCATGTAGTAATGGCTCTGCCTTCATAAAGTATGTACTTTTCCTTTGTTTAAGGATATTTGGGCAGTTTATTCTTTGTTGTATTCTCAAGCAAACAATACATACAAGTATAGTACAGTATTTTCTGAGGACTCCACACTCGTACTTATTTTTTTAATGCCATTCCCGATAACCCGGCATTTTCACAAACTCGGCCACCCTTTGGTCCACATTAGGCCGAGTTTTCGAGGCTCTACTGTATTACTGTTTGCTAGAATTAATAAGGGACAGAATCATATCTATGTATATGTCTATCTATAAAAAATATATTGGAGCAAAATTTATTTCCAATTTGTTAAAGTACTAATGTTGTATACTGAGAAATTTTATAATTTTTATATCAATATATTTTATATAAATATAAATTTATTTCTTTATTTTCCTTATTTATTTGTAACTTAACAACAATTTTTTACGGCAAATATTTTGTTGGGTACAACTAGTTTTAATAGATTATGATAATAAAAACTATTCATAACATTCATTAAATGTATTAAACTGATTTAAACTAATATATGTATATATAATTCAATGTCAAAAAATAGCTTACAATGAATTGCTCAACATCCCTTTCAAAATCAACATTTGGTAAATTTGGCATCATGTGACTAACAACTTTGAATCCAGAATCTTTAGATAATTGAAATGATTCACACACAGCTCGAACTGTATGTCCACTATAAAAAAATTATTTTTATAATATTAGAACAATTTTAAAATAATAGTAATGTTTACAGAAAATTTTAATAATTTATTATTATTTATATTCATTTTAATATTATAGAATTGTTAAAATTTCTTAATATGATTAGTTTGCTAATACAGAATAATTATAATACACTGTAGTTTTATCATTTATCAATTTGCTATAGCATAATATTAGGATTTCCCGTTGGCTGTGCCTTATTTAAATATAGCTATATCATAATTTTTTTAAACAAAAAATCTGCTTAAAAAAATAAATAAATAAAAATTTTCAAAAATGAAACAAATATACAGTCATTTAAAAATCAAACATATGTGATTGTAGAAATGTGATGGTGATCCTGATGAGTTTTGTCCCATGGAAATTTTGTCCATTTTGTCTGACATCTGACTGTAACCATCACATGACACACAGTGTATACAAACACAGCTGGCAGTGTACTTGCCATTCAATTGTCAAAATGGAAGTCAGCAAAGACAAGCAATGCACTGTTGTACATTGCATTTTTAACAGCAGAAGATATTGGAAACAGGTGGATGCATAAGTGAATAAAAGCAGTGTAGGTAATTAATGCATGGTGCTGACACAAGTGCACATTTGGCAACAACAGTTCCTAGAGGGCCACACTTTCCTCAGTAATAACTACCAGCCAGGACAATCACAGAACTATGGGCACTGTTGTTGTGCTTATAGAAGAATTGATTTAAAGTAACTGGCATCTCACTGTGGATAAACTTGCAGCACTAGTGGATCTGAGTTACAGTACCATCCATCATATCATCAATAGAGGCAGTACCAGAAAATCTGCACTCTGTGAGCTAATGCCCTTTTGAACATTGCCAATGTTGTCTATACCATATTGAAGAAATTTAGACAGGAAGTGTTCATGCATATCCCAGTGTTCAAGAACTGAAATGTGCCCTAAGATGCAAACAATTCAAATCATATGATGATGTGAAGGCCACCATTCAACAATGGTTCCAGAAGAAACTCACAGAAATCTTTGTCCTGTTTCACAATAGAATAAGTGTCTCAACAGGTATGATTATATGTAGCTGACTCAAGCTCAGTGTGATTTCCCACCATCTGTTCAGTTTTTAAATGATGTTTTTTTGAAAAAAAAATTTATTTAAAAAAAATGTTACTTTACAATTCAGAATATCAATCATTAAAAATATTAAATCACTATGGAATTTTTGTTAAATGTTCAATTCTGTTATAAATTTTATATTAAAGTTTCTTAATGCATAAAAAAATCTTGAAGATGACTTTTCAAATTTTATATTTCATTTACAAATAATTTGTTTAAACAATTTTTTAAGATTACAAAAACAATTACTTAAAACTAATGAACAGGCTTATTATACTTTAATACTTTATGATTTTGTAAGAGCTTTAATATAGATTTTTACTTAGTATTAAGAACCAATATATTAAATTATATGTAATCTTAACATCTAAAAATATATAGAATACAAGAGTTGATCATTTAATTTGTAAGATTGTTCCCATGTTTTTTCCCTATGTAAATTTTTTGGGAAAATATGCTAGTTAGGTTCTCTCTAATGACTTATGAACTGCCTTCATAGGCTTTGATCAACTCCTATCAGTCTCAATTTTGTTACTATACTTTGAGCCTAACAAATCCTTAAATTATCAGTTCTTGTATTTAGTTTATTTTCTTATTGAGTTGATGAAAAAAAGGAGTTGCAACAGTAACCTAGAAATACAAGATCCATAAGTCCTTGTACAATTTTATACTCCAATATACAGAGTAAGATAATGTTAAGTTGATGAGTTAAGTGTTTAAGATGTACAGTTCAAGTGTTAAAACTGTGGTGTAACAATATTTAAGAACCTAACTTTTAAGGTGTTTTACATTATAATTTTATCTATGTGAACTAATTTATTTTATTTTATTTACAGATCTTATTAATTACTCAAAATGTTAACAGTTAAAGAGAAAGTAAACTGCATCCATTGGCTTGCAGATTTAAATGCAATAACTGCTATTACAAATAAAGTGTATTCTTTATTGTAGTAAGCATGCCATATTTTCTTCTAACAACTATTATTGACTTTAATTCTGTAAGCCAAAGAATGCAGTTTACTTTCTCTTTAACTGATACCATTTTGAGTAACTAATAAGATCTGTAAATAAAATAGAATAAACCAGTTCACATTGGTAAAATTATAATGTAAAACATTCTGTAATGTTAACGTTTGCATATCTTTAATTATAAAAGTTTAAAACAATACAAGGACTTTTAGACTATCTTATATATTAATGGAATAAATTTTTAAAATAAAGTAATTTTTATTATACAATACTCACCGATTTGTATCTCTAGCAACATCTTCATAAACACTCTGAACTCCAATTTCTAATCTTGTACAGCCATAATTCAGCATGTCACTGCACATTTAAAAAAGTTTTAAACTGAATGCAGTCTTATGTATATCAAAACTATTTTATATTTTTCACTACACACTGCATACTAATTCAACTTCATGAAATATTTAGCAACAAAATAAATTGGAATGATTAAATTATGAAGAAATCAAAACTTTTAATAAAAGATTAACACTTTCAAAACAACTCAGTCCATCTTCAGTTTGAAAGTAAAATAAAAGTAACAATTTCAAAATCAAGCCTATTCCTGATAGCATGTTCAATGATTAAATTAAATTAAATCACTATATTAATGCATTTTCTGTAAAAATAAATTATTGTTAATATTAAAAATGTATATTCCAAATAAATATTAACTAATTTTTTTATTATAATAAAAACAGCTGTATTTAGCACAATATGATTTTATCCAGAATGTTAATTTTGTTTTATTGATTAAGAAGTAAAATTATATTTGGAACAAATATTTCTTAAGTCTAAATATAATTGCATTTACAAAAAAGAGGCATTGCTAATATAGAAATACATTAATCTTTCAAATTTTAAAAATAAAATTTATTTTATATTATTAAAAAATTACAACAACAACAAAAATAATAGCTATTTTTAATTAAAAATTTTTGTGATTGAATCTTGTGGATTTGACTTACTTAATGATTGAAAGTTATGATTTAACTTAAAGTGGCTTATTTTCAAAAAAATAGTTGTAATGAACTTTCTTTTTTCCTGACATTATTAGCACAGAAATATTTACAGGGTTTCTACTCAAATTTTTGTTTTAAATTCCCTGACCCTCACATTTTTTAGTGTGGAATATCAACATAATAAAACAGCATTTACTGTTAACATTGAGTACATCTAGCCCTCTTTTTGCACAGTTGATATGCTTCAAAGACTGCCACATTAAAAAAATACAGTACATACATCCTGTAGAAAAATGTTTGATAGAATCCACAACTTCAATGTAATGAAAAAATAAGCAATTTACAAACAAAACACAAGCTTTTTATTTTATCATCATTTATCATTATTAGTTGTATGTAAATCTAGTAAATACAAGGTAACGTAAAATCAACAAAAAGTATTCTTTGATAAACAAATAGTACTGTACTGTGCTTAAAATGAACTCTTGACTTAGAAACACATAATTTTAAAACCAATCTTTCAACAAAAAGAGTAACTTTTTTTAAACAGCAACATAATTTTAACAAAAAGTTAAATTTAAAAATTTTTAAATAAAGCATTTTTCCTACATAAAAAAAATCAATGATTGTACATAAAGAGGAATAGGTATAAGTTTATACTATAGCTTCTCTAACAAATGCATCTAATTTATTGTAAAATATTTTTATTTTTTTACAAAATGGACAATCAAAACACAGAGAAACTTCTTAGTATTAATCCTCTTTTTTCAAAATACAGATAATTAGAAAATAAAAAATGAATTACAATTCACAAAACACAAAAACTATTATATTAATGCAGTTTTAGCCTTTTCTCCTCAAGTGTATTTATTTTCATTTCAAACAATGGAAAATCTGACTCCAATCCAAATGATCGATCTTGGGAGCTGCATTGTCTAGACCACAGGTTCTCTCAAACTTATTTCGACCACTGCCAACTTTGAGATTAAAAAAAAATCTAGTGCCCCCATATTTTTTAACTTAACTTTTAACTTAACCTTTTTACATTACCATCTGTTGCATATCTTAAAAACAGTTATTGCAAATATAATGTTTAAACATGCATTATTATATGAATAGGATAGATAGGGTGTGACCCATATCCTATTTCTGAGACCAAAGAATGTTTCAATGAGAAGAAATAAAACTCATATTTAATCACTGAGCTTTCTACTGTCCCCATGAAAGCCTCCAGCGCCTGCAAAGAGGCATTATCGCCCACTTTGAGAAAGGATGGTCTAGATTAATGTTTCTCAACCCAAAACTCATCGCAGACCGGAAAATATCTGCTTTTTTTAAGTGGACCGGTGACAATATTATTTTTAATTGAAAAAAATTCTCTGTTGTAAAAAGAACTGCAAACTACATTGAGCAATAAATATTTGTTATTTTATTTACCAGTACATTAGTATACAAATCAATGTGATCGCTGCTTTTCTTTTTTGCTAGTAAGATCATCAATTCTTGGAGTTAAGGTGGT